TTAAAAAAAAAAAAAAAAGGCTGAGCAAAAGTAATGTCTTTCAGGAAACACCAGCCTTAGTTATGTGAATGGGCTTATTCAAATAAGTATTAAAATAACCTCCATGAATGAAAGGAGTGAGTTCAAGGCACAGTGCAATTTTATAGGTGTGATTCTTTTTTTTTTTTTTTTTAATTCTTTGAGTTGAGTATAGTTGACACACAATGCTACGTTAGTCTCATGGTGATTCGACAAGTTTACACATTATGCTGTGCTCACCTCAAGTGTGTAGCTACCATTATATAGGTGTAATTCTTGAATTTTGTATTGACATCCAGATTTGAACCAGGAAGGATCAGTTAAATGTCAGAATTTTCTATTTTGAAACTGCTAAAATTTGCCTATTAAACCAAGATAATTCTTTTTTTATTTATTTATTTGAGGGAGGGAAGGAGGGGGGGGAGAGAGAGAGAGAGAGAGAGAGAACAATCTGGGGGAGGGGCAGAGGCAGAGGGAGAAGCAGGCTTCCTGCTGAGCAGGGAGCCCTATGCAGGGCTCGATCCCAGGACCACCCCCCCCCCATCATGACCTGAGCCGAAGGCAGACACTCAACCGACTGAGCCACCCAGGCGCCCGAACCAAGATAATTCTTAATTATTTTATTTTTCAGCTTTATTGAAGTATAATTGACAAATAAAATTGTAAGATATTTAAAGTGTATGTTGTAATGATTTGATATATGTGTACATTGTGAAAGGATTCCTCCCATCTTGTTAATTAGCACATCTATCACCTCACACATTTTATTCATTCATTCATTCATTTATGGTGAGAATATTTTAGTTCTCTTGGCAGATTTCAATTATACAATATAGTGTTACCAACTACAGTCAACATGTTACACTTTAGATCCTCATCATTTTTTTTCACTGATGAATTTTTCTTCCCTTTTGTATCAGTTGAATAACTATAAATGACCACATTCTGTTTTAGTCATTTAATAATGCAGATATAATTATCAGTTTAAAGATCCTTTAAACAGATGCCTAAATGGTTTAATCCAGGTACTTTTTGATTTGCCCATTCTCTGGTTCCCCTGATACTCCTTGCAAGACCAGTTAATTCTTTGTCATTAAGAAGAACATCCTATGTAATTTAGAGCTATTTCTGTACTTCTTTAAATAGTAAGTATTGGCATTTGTAATTTGAAAGAATTAAAAGTGTGTAGAGAAAGAATATTTTTCCCTAAGCCACACAACTGCAGGCAATATTAGACCAAAAAAACATTTTGTTTTAGTCACCCTCATATTAGCAGCAGAGTAAGAATTGAAAGATAAATAAAAATTGTAAATGATACTCTTAACATTTTTAAAAAGATAAATGTTACTTAGGCATTAAATTTCTTTTTCCTGAGAAATTGAGTGTCATAATTTAAGATGTAATTAAAAATACAATTTAATTAATCTGTTGATTAATTTGATAATATGAATGAAAGAACTTTCGTATTTGATTATATCGTATATGGTTCCTAATAACTGTGATACATTTGTGTGATTCTACACTATATTGTCACAGCTTTGATTTCTCTGTAAATATGATACACTCTGAAGAGGAGTAAGTGCTCACTTTAACCCCACAGATGGTTATATTTGGTTTCTAATTTTGCAAAGAGATAATCTCTTTTAACTAATTTTTAAAGAATTCCCTCTCTTCTGTACTACTTGGTATACTAGAAATTTTGGAATTTTTGATTCTTTGTTATGTGCCAGAACCACATAGAATTCTAGCTGACATTCCTGTAGAAAGGTTTGTGTAAGGAAATTGTAGCCGTGTTATATAGAATTAGAAATAAATGGATTAAAAATGGATATCAAAGTGAATTATTTTAATTTTCTTATAAGAATTATGAGTAGCTTAATGTTTGTTGAAAATTTGAAGTATAGCTGTTTATGACATATAATTATATATAGACCTTGTTTAGTATTCTTATAAGCTGCCTATATGTGCTTATAGCATAGATACCCAATTTTCCTGGCCATAGAAGTGACTCTGTTCTTAAAAACAGCCCTCAAAAGATAACCTCACTAATAAAGTATATCTATTCTAGAGTTAAAAATAAAGTATTACTATTTGTTTCATTTGAAATAACTGTCCACACTTGACTATATATATATATATATATATACCGTTTTTTTCCCACATTTGAATTTTAAAATGAATTATTTTAAAATAAGAGTAAAATGTGAGAATGCACTTTTCTTCTCGGTTATAGTTAATTTGTTGTACAGTTATTTGCAAAAGTCCAGTTAACAACAACAACGACGAAATCAGTAGTGATCATAAAATTTTGGAATATTTTATCTTTTAATCCCTAACCTTACCTGTGAGGCAACTATCAGACCACTGTGCATTCATTTTTTTCTTTGCCTTTTGAGATTTGGGATTTGTGTTAAATATGAAAGATTTCTACCCTTTTCAAATATCATGCTAGTGTTTTAGACATATAGGAATAAACTTTAATGATTGTGGCCCAGTTATAAAATTACAATATTCATTTGAAAGCTTAAAACTTGGATTTTACCGTATTATATATTTGATATGTAATATTTACTCAGTGTGATCAGTTAAAAATTACAGTTTTTTTCACAAGTATAGGAGAAAATGATTCCTTTTTATATTACTTTCAGAAGTACTCATTTCTGAATTTTGGTTTTGTTTCTTTCCAGACGGTGGGTCCGGCTCCTGTTTGGACGAGAGTTCCCCCTGCAGGATCTTCTGGTGGTCTGGGATGCCTTGTTTGCAGATGGCCTCAGCCTGAGTTTAGTTGATTATATCTTCATAGCCATGTTGCTCTATATCCGAGATGCTTGTAAGTATCAATGACCTTGCCTACATCCAAGTAGGTGGTCCTGATTTTTTTAATGTGTTTTATCTTTTAAATATACTTATTCTCTTACTCTGAATTACTGTGCCTACATTTTCATAGTAGGTAATATATTGAAGTTTCAAAGGAGCATGCTAAACATCTTTTTTGTTAGTTAACTATGTACATATTGGGGAGATGTGGGTGATTTTATCCTGAGAGAATTGGAATATTCTCCAGAGCCATTTTTCTAAAGACTTTACTCCTGCTTTAATCTCCTCATTACACACATTTGTGAAATGCACAACTAAAAAGCCTGTATTTCAGATATGTTTAGAGCTCCACCTTCTGACAGGTAGGGAGCATTCAAAGATATTTATCAGGAGATTGGAGCTATTTTTATAGTATCAACAACTTGCCAATAAAAAATAAATATTACATTTAAAGATATTTTAACTTCTTCTCAGTTATATTTTGGCCAAATGTATTTCTCAGTAGATTGCCAAATGGTAGACATATTCCTGTCTCATGAGATCTACCTTAGGATGCTTGCCATAGCTGGAAAGCCAGTGCCTGTCTGTGTGGGGTAGTCTGATCATCTTCGGCTTGAAGAAAATATCAGAGCATGTTTTAAATTTTGAAATACCTCAAATTGTTTTCCTTCTCAGAAAAATAATCACTGTTCACAAAACAAGATTTGTAAGCCAAAATATAATTAGGAAGATTGCACAAAGTGATGATTAAATTGGAAATTAAAAAAGAAAAAAGAACTCTTAGGAGTGGGACTTTGTCAGAAGAACATAAACGGTTTGGAGTCATTCATAATCTTGACTGTTAAACTGCTGTGTGGTTCTCTTTACTTGTTCACTGAGTACCAGTGGCGCCAGATGCTCTTGTTACGCCTCTGGTGACACTAATAATATTCTTTAAAATCTTAGATTATACTGTTTTAATTCCCCCAAAATTACTTGAATGAATAAGTGACAGGAGCACCACATTTTATCCAAAAATTGTGGGTTTTTTCTGTGCCTTGAAGGTCAAATAGTTTGGGTTTTGACAGACTGAGTGAAAAGTTCCTTCTTTCTAAGTCAGAGCTAATCATATAAGAACATGGAAATCATAAGAGCTAACATCTGGAAAGTAGAGAAAGATGTTTGGGTAGATTTGATGGATACTAGATTTTAGAATATTAGGATACTAATCTCATTTTAAAGTAGTATGAATTTTTTAATATAAGTAATAAAAAACAAAAGGAATGAATAGCCTCTTTTATTAAAAAAAATGGTTTAGGATAATCTTTTCACAGAATTTTCCAATTCAAACAATTGTTGAAATGTATTTTGATTTTCTGTAGTCTTAAACAATTAGGTATTTGCTCTTTTCTTAACTTTGGTGTATCCCAACTATATATTTTTTTAAAAAATTTAGTCCTGTCTCCTATGCTAAGATCTACTTTTTAAAATTAATTTCATAAAACAGGCAAATTGTTGGCAGCTAAAGCCCTTCCACATTTTCAGTCCATCTATTGATGTTATAAAACATATGGGCACATGTGGAAAAATGCAGGGATAATGAAGTTGTGTATTCATTTCAATATTTAGACCAGTTTATTTTAATTTGCTTGGCTGAATCCAGAACAGTGGATGAGATCTAAAAATAGGATGACTATTAAATATTTAAGGGCCATTGCCCCTATGCTCAAGAAGTTTTTCAACTAGTAGGAAAGACTGACATAATTAATTTTAAACTAACATATCCAGTGCTGTGGTTGAAATAATATGAAAGGTGATATGGATAGTTAATATGAAAGTTTAAAGGAGAGGCACTGAGGGGCGCCTGGGTGACTCAGTCAGTTAAGCGTCTGCCTTCAGCTCAGGTCAAGATCTCAGGGTCCTGGGATCGAGCCCCACGTTGGGCTCCCTGCTCGACAGGGACGTCTGCTTCTCCCTCTCCTTCTGCTGCTCCCCCTGCTTGTGCTCTCTCTCTCTCTGTCTGTCAAATAAATAAATAAATCTTTAAAAAAAATAAAGGAGAGGCACTGAACTCCCCTCTGGGCCAGCTGTAAGTGACTAGAGAAAATGGTATAGATGTCAGCAAATTAAATAAGGGGATCTGCAGTCCAGGCAGAAAGAACAGCATGAACAGAGGCTTGGAAGTAAGAAACAGTTTTAATGGGGGACTGTGTGTATGTGTGTATGTGTGTGTATGTGTGTTTCTACAAGGCATTTGGTATTAGATTGCAAAGGGAGACTGATAGGTTATGAGACCAAAGAAAGTGAACAGGGATAGGATCATGATGAAAGTCTTTATCCTATAAATAATAGGAAGCTCCTGAAGGATTCAAAGCAAAAGTACAGTCAGTGTTAGATCACTCTGGTGGCACTGTGGCAAACAGACTTAAAGGAGGCAAGAGTAGAGCAAGGAAATCAGATAAAAGGTTATGACAGTAGTCCAGGGGGAAAATTGCAGATTAAAGAAATCTTCAAAACTAAAGTCAGTATGTCTTGGTGACTAAATATGATGGGTGAGGGAGGTCTAAAACAATCCCCAGCTTGGAGAGTTGAGTGACTGGGTGATATGTGTAACTTGGATAGGAAATACAAGGATTAGCAGGTTTTAGGAATGGAAATGATTATGTTTTGGCCCTACTGAATTTGAGATCTGTGGGAAATCATAACCTGAAGATCTGGAAAATAAAGCTCAATGTCAGAATTAAGGCTACAGATTCAGTTTTGCAAATGGTTAATAAGTATGTGTTAGTTAAAACCGTAATAGTGGATGTGACCTCCTAAGAATAGGGTAACCATATATCCTGATTTGTTTGGAACAGTCTTGGTTTACACCTGCTAGTCAAGAGTAGTAATTATTAATCCTGCGCTCTTTCACCCTCAAAGGCATCCCATTAGGATGATAAGAATTACATGGTCAGCCTACCTAAGGTGGGTGCTTATAGAAAGAGAAGATGGGCTAAGGTGGAACTCTGCATTTAACTTCAATGTGTAAGACACCAGAGAAGGAAGGGCTTGTGTTGTAACCTCACAAAACTGTGTTGTCTGAGCCAAGGGAGGTCATGAGGGTTGGGAATACTGAGGTATAAAAAGGCAAGGCGGGAAACGTCCATTCAGACTTGGCCCTGTGGAGAGACACTCATCAGATACCTTTGCCAGAATGGTTCAGTGGAGTGGTAAAGCAGAGACTGGATTATGATAGGTTGAGGAGTGACTGGATGGTTAAGTATAATAGCTTTCCCTACAGTTTTGTTGTTGTTCCCATTTTCTTCTGTTTGTATTACAGTTTCAACTAAAAAGTCAATTAAATAAAAAGGAAAGAATGTGGAGATAGCACATGTAGAGTAATCTTTAAAGAAAGTCAGCAGAGCAGAGGAGAAGAAAGATGTAACTAGGGATCAGTGCAGGGGCAAGGAAGGTTAGATGGCTGTCTTTTGAATGAGACCAGGGTTCACTGGAGGCAGAGGAGAACCGACTGAGGGTTTACTTCTCAGTCAGTCTTAAATTGGTCCCTCAAGGATCAATACTAGTTTTTCCCCCTGCTCCATTGATGAGATCTATGAAAAGATAAATTACCCTGTTTACTTGACGTTTTTACTTGTTTATTGTTGTTTACACCCAGTCCCCTACCCCCCAGCAAGAGACTGGATTTTGTCTGTCTTGGAATCCCTACCATATCCCAGCATCCAGAACAGGGCCCAGTACATAGTAATCTTGACAAATATTTTTTGAGTGAAATAATTAAAGAAACAAGGGCTTAGAGGCAATGGTATGAGGTCAGGAGTCCTGTGGAAGACTGGCTGGGGAGCAGGAATAAAAGCTGGTGCTGATCCGGGAAAAAGGTACTAGGCAGGTTTCAGAAGTAGTCTAGTTTATAGGTGGAGAAGATGGGAAGTGGAGGAATCCTATGTCTGATACAGAAGGAAGCGAGGTTGTCTGCTGTGAGTGAGGCATGCTAGGGTTTTAGGAGTTTGAGGGGAATATGTAGAAAGTGTGGGAGAGATGGTTGACCATGGACTAGGACAAGCTGGTCTAGCTATTGAAGATCCTATCCTACAAACAGTGGGCAACAGCACCAGGCCTTAAGGTTATGATTTTTCGAGCCATGCTCAGCAGTCCAGGCAAGATACAAAGGAGGCAGAACATGATCTAGGCTCCAAGCAAGGCCCACGTCCAAATCATTAGGCAGAACTGAAGGGAAGCAGAAGGACGGAGGGTGTTGAGTACATTTTAAGAGGGTGGTTTGGGATGTGTGGGGAGGGAAGCATGGCCAGGAAAAGACTATGGGGAAATCAGAGTGTAAGGGGATTTGAGGTAGGGTATGAGATTGAAAAGCATCAGAGGACAAGAGGACATGGAGCAGTTCTGGGTACGACCAGGACAGTCAAAGTTAGTTAAGGGGAAAGTAAGTCATCGAGGAGATCAAGAGATCATAAGGGAGCTGGGATTTTTGTTTGGTCATTTATGGACACTTGGCCAAGAATCATGGTAGCAAGATGGCACCCCCCACCTCACTGCTGGAGGTTGCAGGGGCAGCAGTAACTCCAGGAAGCCTGGGCCCAGACAGAAAGATGGAAAGGGAGGGGGGTAGCAGGAGGAGGACGCAGAATAGACTGGGTAGGATGCATGGGAGGACAGGACTAGTAAATGAGCTTACGTTTTAGGCCATGGTCAAAGACCAGAGAAAGGTGGACAATTTGCCAGCCTCATTGTTCCAAATGGAACTTTTTATTCCATCTCAGTGGATTCTGAATCATGATGCCCTGCCTGGGGCATCCAGAGTGGTGATGTTTAGTTATACCTAGTAGTTTCAAGCCCATTTATTCAAAAAATCCTAACTGAATACCATTGTATGAGGCTCTGGGCATTACATGTATTCTCTTGGAGCCGTAGGTGAGATATTTATAGCTTAAAGAATGGTGCACTTGGGGAAACTAAAAGAGCCTTTCTCCAGTGACAGCATCCTCCTAGGGGTTCAATATAGGGCTTCAAAGGGCC